TCATCCTTCTAAGCCAAGGAAGGAGGTTAATCAACATTTTTACTCCAGTGAAGAAACTTCTATCTACGGCTTATAACATTACGCTCACTATTTGGGGTTAAAATGAATTAAAATTAAGAAAGAAAAAGGGGATTTTGGGACCGGCTATTGTTTCATCAATTTATCGTAACAGAAAATCAACTCGTATTAACGAATCCAATTTGTTGATATTTCAAGTGACCCCCACCCCACGTGAGTATGAGACACTTTGATATACAAAAAATTATGTACAAATAGTGTTATTCAAATTATAAATAGGCCATTATATCCTTCAAAATGGTCAATTGAATGTTGATGGTTTCACATTTGGTCAATTGACAGATTTTTTTTTATTAGTTGTGTACAGCAAGCATGACAGTGAGGGAGCCCACCATTCGTGTGGGGGCCCCTCATATGAGGGAGCTGTAAAGAGTGGTACATTCAGAATAAACATTTTTTTTTATCCTTCCAAAGATTCTTAAAAATGCACATTTTCCAAAATTAAACGATTTGGGACCTCATATTATAAAAAAGAAAAATAGAAGCCTTGTTTGAGCCCATTTTGAAGGAGAATTGAATTTTTGAATAGTGTATAAATGGGAAATATGTGGTTAAAAATAATGAAAAGTTTTAAATTTACATGTAATATTATTTTATTGAAAAATGTGTTATTGAAATAATGTTAAAATACTGTAGAAAGTACATTTTTTCTAAATAATGGGGCTCAAACAAACTGAAAATCATTCCATCTTGAAAAATTGCGCAGTTGAACCAAAGCAAATGGTCCGAGTTTAGCCTATCACCCATATTTATAGAGGCTCTCTCTTTTTTTTTTTTGGTAAAAATGATCATTATGGATTTACATTTTGCAAAGGCTAATTATTCATGTCACAATTTTTTCTAATAACTAGACTATGGCCTCGGTTGGAAGTATTTTCACCCAAAAAAATTACTTTTTTTGACCATTATTTCACAATTACAGCCGTAAATTTTGACTTGTTCTCTTACAAATAGCCCCTGCTTTTTTCCTAAAGGTCAAAAAATCAATTCTTAAAATCATTATTGAACATGCCCTATATCTTAGCCATATTTGGCTCCATTTATTGTGATTTTGGGAGAATATGTATTTTGAAATGGTGATTTTTTTTAAATGTATAGTTAAAATATAAAATTATTTTTGAGTTTACGTATAATATTATTTTATGGAAGAATGTTTACTTGAAAATGAATTTTGAAAAAATGTATGTTAGAAATAATGGAGCTCGCATGGGGGCTTAATTGTATGAAAGATCCACAACTCTTACATATTATCGCATTTATGTTTAAAACTTTTTTTATTACGTTCTGATTCTCATATTAACATTTCTTTCCAAATTTTTTTAAAATGAAGTAATAAAAACTTACTTGTCCATTATACTTTTGAATAATCAAAACAAGTAATATTGCAAAAATGTGATTAAATATTTGACATTCATTTTAAAGTAAGTTAACAATATTTTTGAACGATAAACATGATTAAGGATAATATTTTATGATCAAAGAAATGTTTACAATAAGAACGTGATGAAGAAAAAAAGTTAAGGATGTATGTGTGATGAAGATTAAAGATTAATGGCCTTTAATTTAATTAAAATGGGGTATATTAATGATTAATTTTATTAAGAAATGCGAATACAATCACCCTTTTGCAAATTTAGAAACCATTCCTTTAATTTTGACAATCACGTTCCTATACGCTTTATTTTAGGACAGTTTTGTCCAATTCCTTAAAAATTAAGATAAATAAAAAAGGATAAATAAATTACCACTACAAATTTTAATTAATATACCACATTATAATCATAGTACAATTAAATATATTTTTAATAAATACACTACAACAAATTTACAATTATACTCCTAATTCAATAATAATAAAAAAGGAAT